GTTCTTTTCAGTCAAAATTATCATTTCTTGGTTGTTCTCTCAGCTCTGCCCTTGTATTTGGTCATGTGGTTGAGCAAATGGCTTTTCCTGTGCTGTTGGTTTTCTGCCTGATGGCAGGCTGGGTTTATAAAGTGTTTAATGTTTGTAAGATGCTCTAAAGCTCTGCTGGAAGATGTGCAGGAGTAGATGTAGCACAGCCCTTTCTCTGCCATGGAGAGCTACTCAGGCTTAATTAAGGCTTTGTGTTAATTGACTGCCAGGGCTGAGCAGTGTCACTCAGTTTTCTCCTGCTCCAGTCAAGCAGATGATAAAACTGTGAGTGGTTTGTGTGAAAATGCAGCCACAGCTCTGGAGATCTCTGCTTCCTTCAAGGAAGGGCTTTCCTAACACTCCCAGAGCTTGGTGCACCCACTGGGTTTGTGGGATCCCAGCACATTCAGGGATGTGCAAATTAAATTATTTTTACACTGCCTTTGCTGGTTTTAGGACCTTCCCCTTCTTTTAGGACCATCTCCTTCCTGTGGAGGTCTGGCTGCAGTCAGGGATCCTGGAATCCCAGGGTGGTTTGTTTGGAAGAACTTAAAACTCATCCAGTGTCACCCCTGCCATGGGCAGGGACATCTTTCACTGTCCCAGGGAGGAATTTCTTCCCAAAATCCCTTCCTGAGTCCATTTCTCCATCTGTAAAAGTGAAACAACATAACATGGATCTACAGAATTCCATCCTGCAGTGGTTTGGGTGGAAGGGACCTTAAATCCCACCCAGTGCCACCCCTGCCATGGGCAGGGACAGCTCCCACCATGCCAGGGTGGCTCCAAACCCCATCCAAGCTGCCCTTGGCCACTTCCAGGGATCCAGGGGCAGCACCATCTGTGCTGAGGGCTTCTGTGTGTTTTGAGGATTCCCTTGGTTTCCCTGCTGGCTTCTCTGGGAAATCCATTCCTGCCCTTCAGCACCCTCACAGGAAGGAATTTCTTCCTAAAATCCCTTTCTGAGTCCATTTCTCCATCTGTAAAAGTCAAACAGCATTACATGGGTCTACAAAATTTCCACCCAAACCACTGCAGGATGTAAGGGACCTGGGGCAGGGACAGCTCCCACCATGCCAGGGTGGCTCCAAACCCCATCCAAGATGCCCTTGGCCACTTCCAGCGATCCAGAGGCAACNCTTCCAGCCCCGTGGCTCAGTGAGTTGTGTTGTTCTGTGAGTCCCACCTGGCTGACTGTGCTTCCCTGCTCCCCAGCCGGCTCTGTGGGAGCCCCTGCCCAGCTGTGTGGCCAGATGTGATCAAGCTGCCCTACTTCAACACTATGAAGCCCAAGAAGCAATACCGGCGGCGCCTGCGCGAGGAGTTCTCCTTGTGAGTGGGGCTGGGCCCCCTGTGCCCCCTGCCAGCGCCTCATCCTCCTCCAGAGAGCTGCCCTGGCGCTGGGGACAGCTCTGCCTCAGGGGGATGTTCTGGAGGGTCTGGCTGTGGGATAATCCTGTGGGAGGTGTGGCAGAGGTGCTTCTCATAAATGGCAAAATATAGAGTGGAAACATCAAGGAATAGAAGATGTTTCATATCATATGAAATTTTATATCATTTAATAATAAATAAATATAATTATAATAAATATTTATTATTATATAATAATATATAATGTATAATATATATTATATATGTTATATATTATATATTATGTATTATATGTTATTTATTATATGTTATTTATTGTATATTATGTTATTTTCTATATATTATAAATTATGTATTATTGATTATATATTTATATATATAATATATTATTTATATAATATATTATATATAATGTATATTATATACAATATATATTATATTATATTATATTATATTATATTATATATCTCATATATAATATATATGTTATATAAAATACATATTATGTAATATATTTTTATATTATACATAATATATATTATATTTATATATATTATATATATTTTTGTAATAATATATAATATAATAATAATTAAATAAATATAATTTAATATATTCCATTATATTTCCACTCAGTATTTTGCCATTTATGAGGGGACCCAAAGGGATCATCCAGTGCAGCTCCTGACCCAAAATCCCACCCTGTCCAAACCCTCCTGGAGCTCTGGCAGCCTCAGGGCCATCCCCATTCCCTGAGCACCCTCTGGGGGCAAAAACCTTTCCTGACCCTCCAGGCACAGCTCCAGCCTCTCCCCACACCTGATGCTGCCCTGCTGCTGCCTTTGAGCTGCTCTGTGGATTCCCTTTACACCTGAGGTGTTCTCCTTCCACTGAGCTTTTCCACACATTTTCCATGCTCCCATCCATGTTTCCCATCTCCCCACAGCATTCCCTCCTCTGCCCTGGACCTGCTGGACCACATGCTGACGCTGGACCCCGGCAAACGCTGCACAGCAGAGCAGGCCCTGCACAGCGACTTCCTGAAGGACGTTGACCTCAGCAAAATGGCACCTCCAGAGTAAGTCCCAGTTCCTGTCCTCCTGTCCGGTTATCTCGGCTGTTTGAGGGGCCTGGAAAGGCCCGGGGTGGCCTTGGGGCAGCC